AACTTAATGAATAATACCAAAAACTTGGACAATACTAACGCTGTTTTTATCTCACAAAGTACACAATAAATTCTAAAGGCTAAAGATTCCTTGTATTAGTATTTGACTTCGTATTGTGCACAACATATGTGCAATAAGATTTTTAAGAACACTGAACTCTCTCGCGTGTAAGTATAGTTGTCTGATGAGAAGATGACCCCCGAGGGACATAGGGAAAGGTTTGCGAAAGGAAAAGCTTATTCACCCCTATTCCCACTTTTATACTCTTAAAGTCCACAGAGTCTAATCCAATTATAATTTCCAGATTTATGATAGACGTATATATATTTCAATCTCAGCTGTGGATAAAAATAAGCATTTCTACATTTACACCAATGTCTTATCAGCCAGTTTTATTCTGTTACATCTAATTATTATACATGATCCTTCCTAATAATAAGAACAAAGCAATATCAAGGAAAATTAGGTCAGAAATAAAATTCAAACTCGGTTCAGGTACAATCTATTTCTCAACTGACTATACGTAACTAATCTCAGTCTATCTTCAACATTTCCTTAAAACGTAAAATTCTTAAAAACTTATTAATCCTCATTCCTATTTGGACATCCTTAAAGTTCACCTAAGAACCTCATACAATTGTAATTTCCAAATATTATATAAACTTGTTCATACTACAAGGTCAATCGTGGATTAAAACAAGCACTTCTACATCAACACTAATGTTTTATCATTCTATTCTACTTTATTGCATTTTAATTGGTATAGATAACTTTTCCTGTCAATAGAAAACAAGTAATATTAATCAAGATTAGATCAGAAATATAATAAAATTCATATTCGGATCAAGTGGAATATTTTTATCGGCTTACTATACGTAACTTATAACAATCGATCTTCAGCATTTTCATTAAAGAGTAAAATTCAGCAAGAGAAGGGGTTTGATCGCGAGTGCAATTAAGTGCAAAGTGGACTAGGTGGGTAGAGGTTCTCGGACGACGGTGAGCTTGGGAAACTCCAAGGCTCGTAAGTCGTAAGGTATTTCGTGCGGTTACGTGAAACTTGCTAACTTCGCCGGTGTGACACCTGCCGCGCGTAATCAACCTGCCGAGTTAACTGGGTTTCTCGTTCTCTCGGTCGCGCTTGCAGCAACCACCGTAACAGAACTCTCTGCTCTTCCGCGTTTATACACATACTATGTATATCCTATTACAACAGCACACACCGTATGCCAAAAACGAATATTGTTTTCAATGTGTTCGCATATCCACATTGACATCGAACATGTTCCTTTTATCTTTCTTAATGTCTGTCAATTTAGGATTTAATTTTTATTAAAGTGATTTGATTATTGGGGGTTTTTTAGTTTAAACTGCATGAGTTATTTATGATTCGTATATAAGTAGCAACCATTTCAAATGATTAGTGTAGTTTAAAGTGGGTCCTATGCGATCAACACGGCTTGGAATGCTAGGTACAGTAATGGGTGTAATATTTGGGAAAAGAAATATAAATTTATAGTTTGGTTCAGTTATTGTAATAATTAAACCCTGTATAGAAAATTTAGATTGATGTTTTCAAAACACGAGTGTTTGTTTTTCCTTGAAAATTCGAAGAAATGTAAACGAATACGATTTATCCGATTATTTAATTTCAATTATGAATTCAATTAATATTCAGGAATATTTTCGAAAGATCAATATGCTTTTTAACAGCTATTTTTATTCCTCTCTTGAAATTTTAAAATTCGAATGAAACGTATAGGATAACAGAAAAAGAATAAAACGTTAATGTGTTTACCATAAGAATCTACATTATTCCAACCCTCTCTTTGTGCACCCTAAGTTAACTCTTTTATCTTTCGCTTACAAGTATTTGATTAACACATTAAGGTCCGAGCAACAACGTTTTTAGTAATATTTCCAGACCACTGCTAATTGCATACTAACGCTCTGAGCGTTTTGTTTTAAACGAATGCATTAACCTACTAAAAGATTTTTTCGTTCCCTACGAGAAATTCAAGCTGTCTCATTACGAGGAACAATTTTAATCCTATCAATCATTTCAAGTTTTTCGTACCTACCCAAAAATTCATTACATTGAAAAATTTTTATCCAAGAAAATCATTTTCTTTTCATTTTATAATACACTTTCTTATTAATTTTTTAAATAAACTTTGTATTAAAATTAATATTGAAATCGATAAAAAAAACGGAATTCAAAGTTTTCTATGAACATCGAGAAATTCTTTTCGAAATTGGTATCTATTGTTTTATTTTTATCATTCACCTTGATTCTCCGATCGATTAAACTTTTCATGAATTTCGTTCGTCGATTGAAATCCCCGAAGACTTCGGATGAATTTCGATCGATAACTTTTCCGTTCGTTACAATGTCCTTGCTTCTAGCGCTTCATTTAGATAATTAATTATTATCCCGGCATTGTAGTCGTAGCTTCTAAAATCGCTTAAATTCACCAGCTCATTGTTCTATCCTTGAAAGCTTGCGCATTATCATGGACAATAGTCAATCTGCGTGCATTATACGTCGATTTATTAATTTATAACAATTATCAATGGTTTATTTTCAATTTCACATGAAAAAATGTTACTGTGTATACATTCAAATTATATTTTTACGTTTTTCATTGTGTACATTTGTTTATATTTGTTTACCTAATTTTCATTTAGTACGAAATTATAAAAAATAATTCTCAAAAAATTTCAATATGTGAAATGTGTAAAATGAATTCATAAATAATTATGAATTTTATTTTAAACGTTTACAAAAATATTAATGTATATGATAAGTGTATTTAATTACGAAAGATATTTTTACTCTTGAAATATGTCTTTATTTACTATTGTAAATACACACACACACACACACATACAAATATGTGTAAAGTGCTTAAATTAAAAAATTGAACCCTTAATAACTTTAAATTTCGAGAAAAAGCACGTCAATTAAAATATTGAGATAAGTTTCAAACAAATATTGATAAAATTGTAAATTCCACCTATTTCTATCCTAGCTACATCTACTTAAATATTTTCGATAGCAATCCTTACTCTATGTGATATATCATTTGATAGATAATTAAAATCCGTGTTTAATCATGCCTTCAAAATTAAATTTCGTCAATGTTTTAATAAATATATCTACAACTTCTAAGATAACACTTTAAAACAGATTTATTATCAATATTATTAAAGCAATAAGAAAATTCACTTCATAAAGAATATAAAATACCGTTATTGGTTCAATCTATATTACTTTGAAACTTTCCCTTCGATATCTAAATAGAGCTATTATTTTCTTAAAATCAAGAATTATTCATGATTACTACTTTTACAAACTTAAGACACTGTAAATTAATTATCGAAGTTTAAATCCTACCGATTAAAGTGCATTAATAATCTTATCAGAAGTAAAAGTAAGAGAAAGTGAGTAGAAAGGGTTAGAAAAGGAAATTGGTATAAAAGAGAAGGGTAGAAGGGTGTACATGTTCGTCAGTGGTGAACGTTAGAAAAGAGAAAATAAGATCATACCTGTTCCTTTCTCTTTTTATATTACAAGCTTTCCCTTTTTAATACCTACAAAATATTTTTTATTCAAACTAAAGAATTATTCACGATTACAATTATTACGAACTTAAAACAGTGTTAATTAATTATTAAAATTAAAATCCTACCGATTAAAGTGCATTAATAATTTAATCGAAAGTAAAAGTAAGAGAAAGTGAGTAAAAGTGTAGAAGGGTGTACATGTTCGTTAGTGGCAAACGTTAGGAACCCCATACAAATCTTTGGATAGAGAAAATAAGATTACACCTGTTCTTTTTTCATTTTGCATTATAAACTTCCCTCATTAAAATATCTAAAAACATAGAATATTATTTTTTTAAAATAAAGAATTATTCACGATTGCAATGATTACAAACTTATAAAACACTGTTAATTAATTATTAGAATTTAAATCCTACCTATTAAAATGCATTAATAATCTAATCGGAAGTAAAAATAAGAGAAAGTGAGTAGAAGGGTAGAAGGGTGTCCATGTTCGTTAGTGGCAAATTTACGAAGCTCATGCGAATCTTTGGAAAGAGAAAATAAGATTACACCTGTTCCTTTCTCTTTTTATATTACAAGCTTCTCCCATTATTATCTAAAAACATAGAATATTATTTTTTCAAACTAAAGAATTATTCACGATTGCAATGATAACAAACTTATAAAACACTGTTAATTAATTATTAAAATAAAATCCTACCGATTAAAGTGCATTAATAATCTAATCGGAAGTAAAAGTAAGAGAAAGTGAGTAGAAAGGGTTAGAAAAGGAAATTGGTATGAAAGAAAAGAGTAGAAGGGTGTACATGTTCGTCAATGGTGAACGTTTGGAAGCCCATACAAATCTTTGGAAAGAAAAAATAAGATTACATCTGTTCCTTTCTCTTTTTATATTACAAGTATCCCCCATTATAATCTAAAAACATAAAATATTTCTTGTTCAAACTAAAGAATTATTCACGATTGCAATGATTACAAACTTATAAAACACTGTTAATTAATTATTAAAATTAAAATCCTACCGATTAAAGTGCATTAATAATATAATCGGAAGTAAAAGTAAGAGAAAGTGAGTAGAAAGGGTTAGAAAAGGAAATTGGTATAAAAGAGAAAAGTGTACATGTTCGTCAGTGGTGAACGTTAGGAAGCCCATGCGCATCTTTGGAAAGAGAAAATAAGAGGATCTAGGATCAGGTTTGTTCCTCTCTCTCCCTCACTCTCTCTTTCTATCTCATTCTCTCTATCTCTTTCAATATCTTTCTCTTTCTAGCGTATATTGTTCTCTCTTTTGGAAGCATCGGTGGTGGATGCACCCCCGTGGTTGGAGAGGAACGCCGGTAGCAGTTGAGGGAAGTTTGGCATAGAAGCGCGATGGTAGCAAAAGCAACCCCCTTCGGAACGTAGAACGTAGCGCATGCCCATCCGGGAATCGAAGCGAAGCCACGGAGGCACAACGTCAGCGGCGAACCTGCCGCCGGGTTCCTCAGTGCGTTTGGCGAACAGTTCGCGGACGGACGTGTCTGATCTCTCTTTCGTCTAGCATCCTTGGAGAACGTTATTTTCCATCCTCTCTTTTGCATATTTCCACGGATTTGGGCCCTTATTATTTTTTTTTTCCATCCAAATAAAAACGGAAATATTAAAAGGAGGAAGGAGGGTTTAAAAATAGGAAAAAGAGGAGTCTAGGTAGAAGAAGTACAATAAACGGGAAAGAAGATTCAAATTCAATATTATTTTGTCTTATTTTCAATTTCCCATATCGTATCGAAACGCATCAAATTATTGTCTTAACTTTCAGTGTACATCTCGGTGAACGTTTATCGAGAATAATAAATATTCGTGCATCCTTGTCATTTATATACGTTAAGGGTTGTTTATGTGAACTGAGAACTTGTTTGTTAAAAAGGCAAGATTTTACTTTGAGATATATCCAAAAAGGGAAAGTAAAAGGGAAATAATTAATTTGGTTTTATTGAATGGATTGAACTTTCGATAGTTTTGCGGGATTAATAAGAAGGGAAGATTTGAAAGGTCGAATCCTATATCATCAAGACGATTCATGCATGTTCCTGACCCTGATGCGAGAAGCCACGCCGGAATACCAAGGTCGTTTGCGATCGATCAGCGTGGCGTCTACTGCCACGTGACTGACTGACTCTGACTGATTGATCGTCTACCTCTCGTTTCAATCGTAACCTTCTGGTGTCAAAGATCGTTTCCTGCGATTTATTGAGAATTCAAAGTTAACTTTAGATCGTAATAATCGTTCTTGACCTTATCCTCCTACGAGGAAAAACTTTTATTCACTTTTTGTCTCACGTACGAGGATTATTAATCAAATATCCTCATCTTCTACGAGTAACAACGTGATTCTCGTTAACGTTAATCGCAAAAAGTCTCTAAACATTAACATTATTTTTATATTTGTTTCTCTCATTTGCGTGAATGGTTTCAACAATTACGTGTATCGTGGAGACAAGTTTTGAATCCAAAAAAATTCATTGGAAAAATCTTTCACCAAGATTTACGTTTGTATTGTTCTCTATTACCTTGTGGTGAGAGTGCAAAAATCAAAATTAATTTCAGTTAGATCAACTTTTTGATCGAACTAAGAACTTTTTCGTATCTCTTCGCGTGGACGTTTTTGAAAAGAGAAAAGAAAAAAAAATTCCGTAGAAAAGAAGAGAAGACAAAACGAGTGAGAAAAAGAAAGAAGATAAGATAAGATAGTAAGTAAGAGGGTTGGTTGAACTGACAGAAAGGAAGGGCTTGTGACGTGCAGTGCGATCGGTGTGAAGGAGATTTGAGGGACTTGGAGGATCCAGTTACTACGTGACATGACGAGAGACTTATAAACGCCGAAAGCTGTGAGCAAAAGAAGAAGAAGACAGAAAGAAAAGAAAAGAAAAAAGAAGAAGAAGAAGAAAAGAAGAGTGGTTGGACCGATAAGTTTGGTGAACCTTAGCGAATTGGAATCTAACTGCATCAACGTGATTGGTGAGTCTCGTACACGCGACAAATTTCATACATTATTTCCTTAATCAACACAAACAAAACATTTATTTTATATTTATTTTAAATGAAATATTATTTCATGTGTGGTATTATATTATTATATTTGTTAATTCGAGATACTAATATAAAATATTAATTGTGAAAAGGTTCGCAAAATAATTAACCCATAATCGTTGTTGTCGTTTAAACGAAATTGCTCTAACGTAAGATGATCGATTATGATTTAAACGGTAGAAACTTTTCGATTCGGATAATTGTTTAATTAAAGGTGACCACGAAAACGGTTGATGGAAAGGCAAAAGGGAAAGATTGAGAACAAGTGTAAAAGGGTCTAATAGAACTGATCCATGGTGGGAGGAAGAAAGTTAAGTCGACGTGAATGAAAGGACCTTGGCAAAAGCCATGGGTGGTCGTCCATGAGACGACGAAAAGAAAAGAAAATAAATAAGAAAAATGTGATAGAGTTTGTGGTAATAAAACAAATAAAGGAAAAAAGAAAAAATTAACAAAAAATAAAGCAAAAGGATAGAGAAAAAGAAGTCAGATACGTCGGGAGAAATATACGTTAAACTTTTGAAATAGAAAGATTACTTCTCTGGTCGTCACGTGTATCTTCTCTGTGTGTGTATATGTGTGCGAGCCCGCGCGCGCGTGACAGAAAGTGCGAGTACGTGTGCATGTATTGGTTCAGAAATTTCGCAGAGAAACGCGTTCGTTGATCTTTATTTTTAAACGCTCGACACAAAGGCCCGTTTTCCTAATTGCTCTCAACAAAATACGTAAGAATTGAAATTGTGAAATGAACAAAATTCGCTATAGAAATACGTCATTCCCCTATGCTGCTATATATTTATAAAAACGAGTTTCATATTCGAGCATACAGCTCGAGGAAAGGATCTTTTTACGGAAACTCAAATCGTTACATTTTATTTTCCTTTGGTATACGTACTTTTTCTATTCCGATTGATTTTTTTCTTTATAAAACTCTCTCTCTTTCTCTCTCTTTTTATCCCATTTCTATTTGTTTGTTTGTTTGTTTCTTTCTTTTTTTCTCGGCATTTTAATGATTGATTACATTTTCGTACTAATTAGAATCGATATTAAACAAAAAGGAAAAAAAAGCATTTAATTAATAAATACGAATATTAAAGTTGACATTAATTGTGTGAAAATTTGTTGAAATATAAATAACGTTTTAGTTAGATGACAGTTTACGTAAGTACGCAATGATGATACATAAATATCGTACAATGATAAAAGAAACAAAAAAAAAAAAAAGAGGAAGAGAGAAAGGGAAAAAAAGGTGAATTTAAAAAACGCGTTCGAATGCCAATCGGTAAACCTCCATCCCAATGGGGCTTACTCTCGATTGAACAAATTGCCGCCAATCATAAATAATTGACAGACAATCACGAAGGATTTAGATTTTCTCTCTGGTGTAATACGACCAAGTAGAACTTCGATATCGCTTTTACACGAAGGGTCGACAATGCGACGACGAATCCAGAGAACAATCCTTTGTTTAAACCCTCCAGGGCCGGAAATAAATTTTCGCGAGATTTGTCCTCGCCTCTGTAATTATGCCATTCGTTTAAAGACTATGTTTACGTATGTAAGTAAACGTACACACATATGAATTGGGTAAAAAGATTTTTTTTTTGCATTTTTAACATAAAAATAAAATACATTTTTCGTCGTATTCTTTTGACGCCGGTTATATACGGCATCAATTAACTGCATCGCATTAGTCAACGATATCTTTCTTTTGTCTTGCAATTAAATGTTCCAACCTATCGAATTTCTTCTGTATATTTTTTTCTTTATTATCATGTTCGATTATTTTTGTTCGAAAAAACAAATGTGATAACTTTTTTTGTAGATTAAACTATGATAATATTGGCATTCAATTGTACGCAAGTCTTGTCGGATTCGATTAATATTACTGAAATTGTATAAATCTAAAATCATGTTCTAGGATAATATATGAAGAAACATTTTTTCCAACCGAATATTTTCATTTATGTAATAAGTAAACAAGATCGATATGAACATACATAGAGAAAAGAGATACTTTTTTTGATTTTACAAATATACGGATAGAAAACAGGATATTGCTACGTCAAGGAAGAGAAAGCTGATATTTCGTAGGAAAGTTTGTGCTTTTACGATGCAAGGACACCGATACAACCTCATATCTTTCAGATCCGATTTCGTTCTCTTTCTGTTTACTTTGCCATGATTCTATTTTAAAGCTTTTCACGTATGTACTTACATACGTATGAATGTAAAGTGTAATTCGCATAAATGAACACGCGTTGGCGGCATGCATGTAACCGGTGAAATTATTATGTAAAAATAAAGGATTCCAATTGTAATATTCTTATCAGTATACTATAATCCCGTATTTGTTTTCACTATGACGTTCATTCGAAGTTAACATTTTTCTATGTAAATGTTCAATTTCATTCATCCATGCGTTACAATGAAAAATTAGGAAAACAATAACAACAAAGGGTTATCGATTAAAACGTTTTGCACAAGAAATAAAAAGAATAAAAAAAACTTAAAATGATTTTTTCTCTTTGGTTAGTCAATGCAACAACAGATTCGCATGATCTAAGACAAGTTTAAAAACCAAAGTTAGAAATCTCTTGGTCGAAGTCATGGCAAGCAAGCAAGCAGCCTCGCGTGTTTCTCGACGGTTTGTACAAATCACGTGTGATTCGTAGAACGCACGCAGCGTTTTCGCATTAAGATAACCGGTAACCTAAGCCGAAGTACATCATTGGTTACAATCAAAGCTTCGAGATCGCAACTTTATCCTCTGAATTGTGTCGAATTTCTCTCTGTAAAAAAAAGGAGACCAAACAAAAACAAAAAAGAAAAAAAATAAGAATATAAAAATTCAATAAAAATAATTTAATTAAAACAAAAAAATAAAAATATAAAAATTCAATAAAAATAATTTAATTAAAACAAAAAAATAAGAATATAAAAATTCAATAAAAATAATTTAATTAAAACAAAAAAATAAGAATATAAAAATTCAATAAAAATAATTGTAATTAAAACACAAAAATAAAAGAATAAAATCTTATCTCTTTTATAACATAACTCGCGTTGTGTTGTATTCAAAGGAATGGGAAAAGGTGATCCGTTTTATGCAGTTAATTGTTTTCTGAAATAACGTGCGACGTAATGGTACTGCGAGAAATAAAAAGAAGAAAAAGAAGATGAAGAGGCAAAAAGGATGAAATGATATGAAGTGGGAGTGGAGAGAGCAGAATGTGAGGGTGTCGAGAAAAAGAAAAAGATAGAACGAATGGTGGAGGCGGTGAAGTGTGCCGAATTAGTGGTTAGAGAAGAGACATTGCCAAGTTGGAAAGAGAAAGGGAGAGAGTTAGAAAATTATAGAGAAAGAGAGAAAGAGAGACAGAATGGACTAGCTCAGGGAACGTGTGCTAAGAGATAGATATAGCATATACACATACACACATACACATATCTAAAACTATATACCGAGTGAAGCATGTAAAACATAATTTAATTCTGTATAATTCGATTGATATCGATGATAAAAATACAATGTGTCAAATGAAACTTACTCGGTCTCAAGAATAGTATAATTTTTATTTTTAATTACTTTTTTTTTAATATAAAAAAGAAATACAGAGAGTTTAATAATAAAAATTCTAACCTAACTAACAGTACGGGTTTCAAAATGTTATATTAGATGGTAAATGGAAAAATGTATCATATTATTTAAAAAAAATCTAGTTAACTTTCATATGTCATCTCTTATTCGTCAGTTTACAAACAAATTCTTAACCCTTTCGTTACAAGTGTCGATTATAATCGGCAAAAAGATTCTACTTTATTTTTAGAGTATCTCATGATATTATTGACACGTATTGGATAAATCTTACTAAAAGTTTATTTTGAACGCACGTAATTTATTCCCGACGTTTAAATAATTCTCCAAGATGGCGTTGCAAAACGTAAATTCGAATACCGAGTATTGCCGTAACGAATGGATCAAAATTATTATCGAATGTAAGTAAATTTTGTCCGACTAATTTTGTTCTATCATCGATAGCTATTTAAATTATTCAAATGGACTGTTTTAAATGTTTCACTCGGTATAAGATAGACGAAAGATAAATGGGAACAGAAGGACGACTAAAGAGAGAGACAGAGAAAGTGAATAGATATATACATATATATATATATATATGTTGAAGAAGGATAGATGGAATAGTACAATGCCAGGAGAGGAGTAAACCTGTCCTGAAATGAGGTCGACATAATTGCAGCTCCAGTCATAGTGGAAGTACGAAGGTGGCTTCGTCGCAGACGGCTTGTAAGAGGTGGGAAGGAGTAAGTTGGTCGACTGATGGCAAAAGGGTGAGGAAAGAGGTATGGCTTGGTCGCCATCCATTGTCTCACGCAGACCCCGTAGTCGGCACTGATTAAATACTTGACACATCCCCGGCCGAGCCGGCTCGGCATAACTTTGTTCGAATTGTAATTACAGACTGGATCAGACTCTCCGGTTACCGAATGAGTTCCAGGCAAGCCTCAGGAACAAGCCCCCTGTTGAAGTTCCAGTCGTTGAATCAATCGAACCCATCGGATCGTAACCTCAAATACGACTTTTTCTTTTTTTTTCTCTTTCTAATCAATTAATTATTATTTATTAAATTTCTCTTTTAAATATATCTGATCAAATAATCTTACGGAGTTTTGTACCGTATATGTTGTAAGTGATCAATTTGATCGTGATATTTTAAGTGACTTTGAAATGAATTATCTCATACGGTTAGGCGTATTTTAATCTTCGATTATTTCAGATCGATTTATTTTGAGATTAATTTAAACACTGAAATAATCGAAAATTCGTGATTGATAGCACAATTATATTATTCATTATAATTAATGTTAGATTAAACGAAGAAATAAAAGAATAAAATTGATGGTAGAAT